ATCAGATGAAATTTAAGATATTGATTCTTTAAAGCTCTAAATGACTTTGCTCTAAGTTCTCCTGGCATATAATTGATTCCACATGACAGTCAATAGAAGAATCTTTCTTCAAAAAGTCCTGATTCATACTGAACAAATGGAAGAACGTGTTCTTCTGTATCATTTCCCAAGTTACAGAATGTTCTCTCTTCAGAATTAGACTTGCCTCATCCACTCACTTTCAAGGAGACCTCAAGTTCACAAAAATCTTTGAAATAATTGAATCAATTTTTATGCATACATTTTTAACTGGATTTTAACAGTTTGTTTATTTATTTATTACATTTATTGGCTATCCATCTTAGAAATCATGCGTACATATAGTGTTGTAATAATGATAAGAAATGGTAAAAATGAAATAAACAAACAATGGAAAATAGGAAACAGAAAGTAGTTGAAATTAACTGAAAATTAATGGACTATTAAAATGAGTAGTTTTATATCTTCATTGGTTTTTTGTTTTTCTTTTGATTTTCTTTTCATTTTTTATTTTAATTTGTACAGTATAGATTTTAATTTTATTATGTTAACATATATTTGCTACAATTAAGAAAATTATATATATATATATATATATATATATATATATATATATATATATATATATATATAGGTTTTTTTTTTAGGTTTTGCTAACAAAGAATAAAGAGAGAATGGTATAGCTATTTCGGGTTCCTTTAACCCTCATCAGCCAAACTTACTCTTCTGAGATTCGAACCTGGGCTATCTGCATGTTAGGCAGATGTTATAACCTCTAAGCCACGGGTTCTCTCCCACTTTGTTAGCTACCAGGAGAGAGACAGGGGGAGGAGATTTATTTATATATATATATATATATATATATATATATATATATATATATATATATAATATATATATATATATATATATATATATACACACATACGATTAAAAAGGTTAAAAATATATTAAAATTAAAAATATATTATTTTTTTTTCTGAGGTTTTCGCGGGTGTTTGTATGTAGGTCTTTGGTTGTTCGGGTATTTTCCCGTGTAAAATTGGAAGTGTCTTAGCGACGTTTCGACGAAGTCCCATTCGTCATCTTCAGGCTGGTGTTTTCGAGGAGCACGAAGCTGAAAGCACCAGCCTGAAGATGACGAATGGGACTTTGTCGAAACATCGCCAAGACACTTCCAATTTTACGCGGGAGAAAACCTGAACAACCAAAGACCTACATACAAACACCTGCAAAAATCTCAGAAAACATATATATATGTTTGTATGTAGGTCTTTGGTTATTCGGGTTTTCTCCCGCATCAAATTGGAAGTGTCTTCCAATTTGACGAGGGAGAAAACCCGAATAATCAAAGACCTATACATACATACATACATACATACATAAAATTACATTAAAAATTGAAGAATAGCGATTCCTGGGTACATACATTTCAGTAAAAAAGGAAGCGATCACCAGGAAATAAAACACCAAGGTTTTAATAAATAAAATCAAGCTTTCAATGGCTAGCACCTGCCATCATCGTCAGAATACAAGCTAGCTAGTGAGGAAACCTGCTTATAAGCATAGCCACGCCTAAACTCTACGCATGGACCTTGTAACAGGTCCAAGCCGACCAATCCTTGCTTCACTTACAGCCTTCAGTGATTCTTTCTTATAGTTCTTAGTTACATCTACACAACCACCCACTTCCCCCCTCCCTTTAGTTCCTGAGTCAACGTGTGCTTCTCAAAATTAAAGGGCCCTCTGCACTATTGAGTTGATTCTTCTTCCTGTGTTCCTTGGGACGTTTCTCTCCTCCACTCCTCCGGCACGCATCGCACTCATTTACATTCTTCAATCCTGTCACTCCTTCAACCCCCCCACAATCCTTGCCACCAATCTCATCCACACTTTTATTTCCCCCCACTGTTCCCAGCGTATCGCATCCTCCGTGGTCCTCCTTCGTGCCATCCGGTGCAACTCTCAATCCGGTTGAGCTCCTGATGATGTCAGCAGTTGTCATGCGCCCCAAGGACCCACTCCCCACCATGGATAAATCAGCAGTCGTCTACAGAATTGACTGTGAGGACTGCCCCAGTAACTATGTTGGGGAGACCGCCAAGAGAGTAAGAACCAGGGTCCATGAACACAAATTAGCGGTAAAAAGGGGCGAACAATACTCTCAGATTGCGGCACATATGACTGAATCAGGCCACTGATTTAACTTTGAAAACGTACGTGTCTTGGCCAGTGACAATACGAAAGGGGGCCGCTTGCTTAAAGAGGCATGGCTATCCAATAAGGACTCAATTAATCGGCATATTGATCTTTGCCCAGCCCACTTAACGTTGAGAGCTTGGAGCATGGGTAATCCCCCACCCCACTGGAGACAGCCTAAGGAAACACTGAATATATCAACGGAGAGGATTGTAGAGAAGACTTCCCCCTCTTACCATCCACAGCCTGGGAGTATTCAGATGGAACGCAAACAACGATTGAGACTTCCCTCCCCTCCCAAAATGGTCAGACATCTCCGAGAATCTGAAGGAGCGTTGAGAGACGCAGGAGCATTAACGTGTGGACTGGGGGTTTGCACACCCCCCCCGGGGCATCCGGAGGGGAGAGCATCGCCTGATAAGAGATCCATATTTAAAATACCCTTGGCGGGGGCATTGAACTGCCTGCCGTATTTGGGAGGGGAAAGGGTAGCCTCTCCAGCCCCACTGCCTGTAACAACTCAATCACCCCGTTTAGCAGTACCAACCCGAATGCGCCAACGGGAAGTGTGGGGTGACCCCGATGAAGATGCACAGGGGAGGAATACCAAGAGTGGGGGGGAGAGGGTAGTGAAGACTGGTGCTCCTGATTGCCATATAGAGAACATCCAGGGCGAGTTATTTAAAACTAGGATGGAATGTATAAAGATCGGAGATAAATAGAGGAGATGCCTGGGAGCAACAACTACCAGATCGTACTCGAAAAGGGGAGAAACAGCCTCATTAGCATATTTGGTGAATACGACCCGCCCACCCCACCTCACAATGCCGATCTGCCCGTATCAACAGGCAACACGGAAGAACCCTCAAGGCGGCACCGTGCAAGCAAGGAGCAAGGGGGAAACAGGGGGTGTGATGGCAATTAACTTGAATAACATCTGCGGAGACCATGATTGGGGAAAACACAAAGATAATAAGAGACAGTGCATTGCAACGGGGCAATCAGAACGGAGTGAAAAAGGGGGGGATGGAGGTGTGCAACTAAACAAAGTGGGTGTGGCAATAAAGAAAAAAAAGAGGGGGGACGTTCCATCAAACCCCGAATTTGGCAAAGAGAAAACACCCGATGACAGTTACACAAGCAAGAAATGCAAGAAAGCAATTACTGCTAATAAGAAACTGGCAACTGGGAAACAGCCTATTCCATCAGGCCCAATGACAAGATCTAGGAACCGGGTGCAGACTCTGGCCAATCTATAAAGAGGACTCTCCTACTGACCGGCATTTATTGGTTTTATTGTAATTTTATTGACATTTTACTAAATTTTATTAAATTTTTTAGCACTCCCTGGTGCTCACATTTATTTGTTTGGTTTTAAATATGGATATACCCAGGGATCATATTTTTAGTGTAAGTAGGTCTTTGGTTGTTCGGGTTTTCTCCCACGTAAAATTGGAAGTGTCTTGGCGACGTTTCGACGAAGTCCCATTCGTCATCTTCAGGCTCGTGTTTTCAGCTTCGTGCTCCTCGAAGCACGAAGCTGAAAACACCAAAACACCAAAACACCAACCAAAGACCTACATACAAATACCTGCGAAAACCTCAGAAAACAAATATATATATATATAAAATATGCTTTTAACATTTAATAAAAAATAATTAGAAAACAGAATGAATAAAGAATGGAAGCAATATAAAAGACAGTGAAATTTCATTAGAAACTGTTTTAAGCATGTGAATGGCATTCATTAGTCCCTTCCTAATTGTAAACCTGTTGTAAATTGTCCTTGAAAAGAAGGTATGCTATTGAAAATTGAAATCAACAGCAGTTAATACATTAAAAGGAGCTTACATTGAAGAAGTCTTCACTGGGAAAATTTACATATCAAATAATAAAAGCAAGATGATTTGCATTAAAAAGGTGCTCAGCCAATTTATGTTAACAACCACAAAAATTACAGACACATACATATAGAAGCTTTTAAAGAGTATTTGCAGACATAAATAGTCATAAATATTTTTATGGATTAAAAGAAATACAAAGTGCAACATATTTTTACTGATCCATACCTAAAGAAGCCATTGAAAAAGGGGTTTTAATTTGCTTATAAATTACATGATCTTAAAAATAAATACTGATATATACAGTATCTATGACATTTCAAAGCATATGTTTTGTATGGTTGTTCAAAAGTAACTAAACTGGGAAAACAGTCATTGAAATGCCAATTGTTATTCCAACTGTGCAAATGTACAGTAATGAGATTTGAACCAAGAAAGATAGATTCACATGTAGACTAACGCGACTCCATCTGTGCATGGATTTGTGTTCAATGAAAGTATCAACTCAGTGAATGCATTCTTAAGAATGAGCAGGACTCCCATATTAGAGTTATTAGAAACAGAAACAGAAAATACTGTCATTATAGCAATATTTTTACTGAAATTTTTAACATAAACATACTTAATACATGCCTACAGTTCTGGTCACCATATCTGCAAAAAGGATATTGTAGAGCTTTCCAAGTTAAATTAAGCCTTTACATCATAAGATGAGAGACATAATTTCTTCATACAAGATATATTCCCCCCACTCCACCCCCCGTCTTATTATATAGAATGTAGGATCATACAAACTGATTGAGTGATAGGAGGCTTAGAATAGTACTTAATATGAAATTGCTACACGTTAATTCCAACATCCAATGTAACATCGCTCTAAAAATCACAAATAGAAACTGCCTCTTAATATTCAAACACCAGAGGAAACACACATAAATTACCTTCTTTTTTCTTCTTTGCTTCTTCTTCGCTTCTCTCTTTTGCTTTTAATGCTTCATCAGCTTTAGCTAAAAATAATGTATTGACATGGCGATTAGTTCTATAATAAACAGATCTGGAAAATGTAATATACTTAGAAACATCACAGTCATTTGCATCTCTGATGGAATGACCTGGATACCCCTTTTTAAAACTTATATAAATTTAAAATAACATTGCTATAATGAATCCCAGATACCATATGATTATTATTATTATTTTTTTTGGTAAATGACTCTTCTTAAATGTGAATTGCTATTCACAATGTCTTTCCCAAGGACATCCTTCCAAAAGTATCTGCCTTTGGGACTAAAAGAAAATGCAATTCCAGAATGATTCTTCATAGACAGGGCAAAACCTAATCTTTTCAAACAACTCTGAACCTTCCAAAATGTAACAATAAGAAACAGGAAAAAGGAAAAGTGCTAGATAACAAGAAAACTCACTTCCACAGCTTGTAAATCCCTAAAGAAGTTGATTTGGTTTGTCCCACTGTTGATTTAATTGATGAACAATGTTTTTAGGTTAATGGGACATCTCCCAATCTTTGTTATTTTGTCTAAACAAAATATCTTTGCTATTCTTGTATCTGTATAATAATTCTTTCTTGAAAAACAAACAGCTTCAGAAAAATATAGCACCCAAGCTATATTTTAAAAGACATATCCGGAGTTCAGCAAATAATCTGGCCTGCACTGAGCCATCCTGGGACTATTTCAGACTAAGTCCCCATTTCCAGAGCATTATTGTCTAGCACAAAGAAACTATTAAAAACTATATGTGTTTGGTATATTATCCAAATGGGATATAATCTGGAAATGACTATGAATGGAAGGAGCACCCTAAATTTCCTAGAATGCATGATTGATCACAAGATCACTCTAATTTAAATCCAGACCTATCAATTACTGAATTCAAAATCTCTCTTTCTTCCCTCCATAATATGTTCAGGAGAAGTTATATTGAAGGCCATATCTATTTCAAATGCAAGGAGCTGATCTATTTGGGCAGTATTTGTTTCTTTTGCAAATCAGAAGCTCCTTGCAGATGAAGCCTTCTCATTAATTCCTTTCAATGCTGGAAACTCCCAATGAGGAGAGGTACATTTAGTCCTCTTACCATTATCTTTCTTCTGAGTAGCAAAAAGACATTTAGTCAGACAGAATTTATAAATAATTTTTCTACTGGGTCAAATAGATTTTTTTTAAAATGTCATTTAAATGGTTAAAGTGATACTTGAAATAATGCTAGATTGGTTTGTATATGGATACATTATTCTACCCCATTGCCTTGTTAGATGACAGAAAGGAAAAATGAATCTAGAATCTCCAACAACACAGCGTTGCATAGAAGATGCTGTATAAAGAATGGTATAATATGCATGTAATTGGACTATGGGATGAAAGAAATTCTCCATACAGAGACAGAATATTACTTCATGAATAAGACCCTCTTTTTCTTTTTCAGTGCAAACTATAAGGCTGTATTTAATTCATGTTATGAGAGCATTTTTTAAAACAGAATCTTCTTTTCTTTTAGAAATATCTCCTCTTATTACTTAATTATGTACAAGTTGCTCAACTGCAAGGGTTTTAAATACTTTACTACAGATGTTAAAGAAGATTAAAAATATACAGCACAGTAACAAGGGACTATCAATATACTCTGTAAATTAATTAAATTTCTGTTCTAGCACATCATTTATTCTGAAGCATTAATGTCTCAAAGGGGCCATTCTCTTTTATTGCTATCTCACTGCATGATGAGTGAACTTAGAGAATAATCTCTAATAGCATTATAGTTGATGAAATATTAAGTTTTTTTTAAATATTGCTTTGTCAAAAGATAGAGAAGCATAATGTAGGTAGTTACATCTAGACCAGCTCTTACTGTGTAATAAATCCATTAAAGAGCAACAGTTTCAAATACTAGTTTTCTATACCAACCTATTTGTTATATGAATATTCAATTGATTTAGCAACCATGAAAGACATGAATGCCACATGATCCACAAATTTAAAATCTAATATCGCTTTTCAGTTGGTATCTATGCCTTCTTAAAATACACAGCTTAAATACTGATGTTCTGAAATGACAGCACCAATTACAGAGACATCTGTTTCCATTTACAAGCTTTTAGATACACTTAGGGTACATTTTAAATCATGAAATATTAAAACTTCTGCCAGCGATCTCTTTACAAGAATGTATTAAATTAGATAATAAAACAAATCACTGGTAACTATAAAGATTTTTACCTTGTTTACACTTATTCATACTAGTACCAAGGTAAGGATAATAGAAATTCCATTTAAATTTAATTTTAGTTATATGTGTAATTGTAGCTATACCCCTTGAGTTATGGAAATGCTCAGCTTATCTTTCTTTCAAATTACCTTCTCAGATTCACATTCCACTCCTTATAACTATCTTCAATATGTATTAGTAAAGCTCATTAGAATGAAATTTAATAATGCAAACATTAGGTGGGTTTCAAGATCCTCCATTATCAACACAAGATGGATTGCTTATATGTAGCTCTTGAGCCAACCAGGCAAAATTTAGATTCAATAAACTAGCAGGCTTAAATTTGATTTATTTATTCCACCATGCCAGTGCGTTCTTCATAACTGATGTTTTCTGCATAGGAAGAGTTTATTGGATTTTTTAATAAAAAAATAGCTAGCTCATAAGTTAAAAAAAATGCCATCTCATAGTTATACATAGTTATACTGCCAATCTTTTCTCTATTTTAAAATTTAAAAATATTTTATTTTCCATTCCTACTGATTACTTTAAATATGGCAGTTATCCTAAAAATCTGTCTGCCTGTCTACATCTCATTCAGATACTTACAACAGAATGCATAATACTCCCTTCTCCAATTTTTTCCACAATGAGTGTGGAGACTATTGGAACCAGACAGCAGGAGGAGGAGGAGGAGGAGGAGGAGGAGGAGGAGGAGGAGGAGGAGTAGTTCAGTGACAGTGAAAAGAGAGCAAACCCATAAGCAATGGCCATTGAAAGGAAACATTTCAGAGACTCTATCTATAAATCTGCCTGAGAACTTATTTCTGTATCTTTCAAGATTATGTTTTACCTTGATTAGCATTACAGATGTCTTTCTGAAACCCTTGTGGTAGTTCCTTGTTAATTTGCCATGGAACATGGCATTATATATGAGGTACACTGGGCTAAGAGAAGAGAACTGCCCCAAAATCATCCAGTGACCCTTCCATGGATGAAGGTAGATGAGAAACTGGTCTCCTTTCTTTCAATCCAACATCTGAACTGTTATATCATATTAATATGATCCCAAAACTGAAATGTCCTACTTAATCCATTTGGAAACTTACATTCTAAAATCAAAGTTACTTATAAAATTCTTTAATTTTATAGAATTCTATATTTATAAAATATAGAATGCCAGTGGGGGTAAGGCACCAGGCTAGAAACTGGAAGAGTATAAGTTCCATGTTAGGCACAAAGCCAGGTAGGCTCTATACTCCAAGAATATATGGGTGGTGCATATTACTTTCATTAAAAAAAAGTCCTCTAATTTAACCAGGACATAAGAGTCCTGTGAATAACCCACCTCTTAGCAACTTTTTCTTCTGCCATATCTGTCTCTTCAATACCACAAACTGGACAGAAGCACAGCCATTTTTCTTCTTTTAACAAACATTCATTTCTTAGAATAGACCACATATTACTTACTAACTTTCTATCCGAATAGACACATATTAGCATTTCTCCAACAATTTCCCAATTTTTAGTAAACTTTTCACTAAAGGTAGAAAAGTTCATTTACTTGCCCTTTTTTCATCCTTTATGTAGAAATTGTTAATCAAAAAGAAAAAAAGGCAGAAATGTCAGTTCCTTGAAAGAAATTATATTCCTCACAGTATAGTAATAAAGGAGAATATTTGTAGCTCAGGGTTTACATGAGGGGTCCTTGATGATGTTACATAGTCTGGGTAATGAAACTGATGATGTTACCTAGTTGGGTAGTGAAACATCTAAAAGAAAACAAGCAAGCTCAGAGAGCACCGAGGACCCTTCATCCCCACACTGTGTATTTCCAGGTTCTTCCCTACAATGTAGCTGTCAGTGTTGCCTATCCTATGGGCTACAGAACTGTCGCCAAAGCTTGGTATTTAAGGATAGGAACTATAGGAAATAATAACGGAAAGTCAAGTGGAGGCTATGCATATCAAAGCTTAAAGTAATTAATTTTGAAAAGGAAATCTCTTTTAAACAATCTATATTATTTTTTGTGTATCTATGTAGAAAATCAGAGCGCAGTGGCATCTGAAAGACTAATAAATTATGCATTCCATTTATTAGTCTTTAAGATGCCACAGTATTCTGATTCATTAGTTTTAAAAAAGAAATGTTTACTAGGTCATAAACACAAATGTGCACATTGGTCTTTAATAGAGGTAAATTGCAAGATCTTTTTTAATAAATGAGATATCATATAGTATAACATGCAATGTCACACATTAGCCAATTGATTAATGAATCATGTTCAATATAATATAACCTCAAAAATATAGTTGTCCATAGATAGGTTTTGTTTATATGGCACCAACTCCTTATTAAGATTAATGAAACTATGTCAAACCTACAAATAGCATAGATAACTGTCCTTATTTTTTTTAATCAAATTTTATTGGTTTTTTGATTCTTAGAACAAAGTGCTTAAGACACACCGTGGTGCTGGGGTAATCAATCATCTAGAAATAAAACCATATATGAATAACTCAAATCAATACATTAAATATTCCCTCTCTATTTCCCTCAATTAACCTTATACATTTAAGATGATCCATTTCTAATTTAAATTTCTAAAAATCCTAAACCTGTTTTAGGGCTTTGTGAATTTACAATTAACATAATCAAATCTGATTTTAAAGAAACAAATTATCAATTCCAGTATCCCCTCCAAATATATTCTAGATCTCAATCTCTTAAATCCTTAATTTTATCACAAATCTCTTTTATTTCTTCTTCCACTACACAATAT